ATATTTTAGTTACCAAACAGAAAGGGGATGGCTTGGATGGAAATTGGGGGAGAGGGGAAGGTTGGGCATTTGATAATGCCAAGGACATGCCAGACTCCAGGCTGTGAGGGGTTTGGGGACAAGTATAGGCAGATGTTCGGAAAGCCTGGAGGCTTGCTCAGTCATGGCTTGAGAAAAGCGGGAGAAGGATGCGGGAGGTCAAGTGGGGTTGAGGGTGGACAGCATGGAGGGAAGTCCCGCTGTGTCGGGGCCATGGGCAGACTCTCCGTGGCACCTCCTGGCCCCAAGGATGGAGACCACGTCATCTCCCCTTTTTCCAAGGCTGGCAGGCATGGGAGGAGAGGGGAAAGCAAGTGCGGGATGGTCAGGGGTTGGACACTGATGGGAAGAGATGCAGACTGGGATTAGAGACTGAGAGGACAGGTCTGAGCTTGGGGACAAGGTCAGCAGATGAGGGAGGGGAGCAGGAGGTAATGAAGCAAAAGAGATCAGGGTGCAGGGAGGTGAGAAGTCACTGTGGGTGAAAAGAGGGAGCAGGTCAGGCTGGAAGGGATTGAGAGGGCTGGATGTGGCTGGTGGCCTCTGTTTCAGTCTCTGTTTAAGCCTGACTTTGTGGATGTAGCAGGTAGACCTCTCACTGACTCTAAACGTCTGCTCAAGTAGGCATGGGGTTTTACAGAAAAAAAAAAAAAAGGAAAAAAATCAGAAAATGTCTGGAAATAAAGTCTAGAGGCTGCAAAAAGCAGGTGTGAGAAGAAGCAGAGACAGAGCAGCTGGATACTGGTGCATGTGGTCAGCACAGGACTGTTTTCCTGCACAGAGAATTCAGCTAAATGAGCTTCCCTGGGTCACAGCCTCCAGGACCCGCCAGAGAGCTGGGTTCCCTCCAGCCCCTGCTCCCTGGGTCCTGTGCGGGGTGAAGTGATGCTCAGCACCACGCTGACCCGATTTCCTTTCTTCTCCTCTCCAGCTCCTGGGAGACATCCTCATCATTGTGCTGGCCGCACACTTCACCAAGGACTTCACCCCTGCCTGCCAGGCCACTTGGCAGAAGCTGGTTGGCGTGGTGGCCCACGCTCTGGCCTACAAGTACCATTAAACCTTCTGGAGGCAGATGTGTCTGTAACAGTCAATAAAAAACCCACATTTTCTGAACTTCTTAGTGGGCTCCTGTGTCTCTGCGACTGCCTGTGGGGTGGGAGGGAGGGAGCAAGGGGCATGAGAGGGGGAAGATGGGCTCTGGGCTGGTGGGAGCATCACGCTCCAGAAAGGCAGTCAGACTGGCCGAAGCTGAGGCTACTTTTCCTGGCTATTTGGGCTCTCTCCCAAAGGCATCAGCCTGCTCGCTGCTGCCCTTTCCTGCCTGCCTGGCGGGGCTGGTCCTGGACCTCCATGCACAAAGTGATGCTGGGGTGCCACTCGCATACGGAGCTCCAGTGGGACATCTGGGGATAACGGCCCCTAAATCAGCGATGGGCACATCGCAGCCCATCTGGTACCTCTGAGCTTGCTTAAATTGCTGGGGGGGTGTGGGTTTCTGACCTATTCTGCGTAGAAGACCAAGCTGCAGGGCAAGCAAGGGCCTCCCTGGCCCTAAACCTCTCAACCTGTGATGCATGCAAGGATATAAAACCGTGGAGATTCACTGAAGCCAGCTTAGATTAGGCAGAAATTTAGCCCTTCGTATTTTAGTACTGATGTATTTTTAAGAAGTTGATCAAATGCGTTTTCTGAATCAGCAATCAAAATGCTTTTACCATTACTCTTGTGCATTTTGATCAGAATACAATATCTAAAAGAAAATGTGTATGACCCCAAGAGGAGGGGATGAGGGCAGCTTTTAAATAGGACCAATCAGAGTGTTTTTTTACTCAGACTGGTTTAACGGAATAATGTTTGTGCACTGGAATGGAAGGATTCTGTGTAAGCACATCGGCTTCAGCAATGCTTTTCCAGGCATTACTTAAAAAGCAACAAAGACAGATATGTTATGTCGGTGTCTCAGAATGATGAAATCCTTGTTTTGCATGATTTAGGAATAAATTTCCTGCCTTTATCCTAATAAAGCAGGGATTTGCACTTATGACCCTCTATCCTACACAGACAACCTGCCTGACAGGCAAAGGACCCGGTCCCAGTGGTGGTGCTGAGAGCATCCTGGGCTGGGCGAAGAGAAAGAGAAAAAAAACTCCAAACCAGTCTGGCTTTCCTGCAGCACGTGACTCTCCTTTGTCAGCAAATGGGCATTTCAGCATGATTTCATAGAATTTCAGGAGATAAGACCATTCTCAATGTCTGGTTCCAGTTAGCTCAAAAGTGCAATTCAAAACCTTGGAAATTGCCACCGAACAGAAAAGGTCTCCTGCACTTGAGGAACAGACGGACAAAATAATAACAAAATGACTGTGGGTGCATCCAGCAGCACACACTCTTGTCTGTCCGTGTGTTTATACCTCTGGGTCCCAAACCAGCCAACGCTTGCACAGTGGCTGTGGACCTCCGCAATATGTTTTTGCCCTAGTGTCTGTGAATTCTGTTCCTCCTTTCCCACCTTGTGCCATGGACACATCCCAGTGCTGATGTGGAGCGTGTCCTGCTCCCTGACTGTGCACTACAGCCAGCACCTGGATGGTCCTGACGGCCTTAATCTGCAATAGAGGTACAGGTGAGGGGCGGGATGCGGCGCTGGTGTTGCAGAGCCAGTGTGCCAGGCTTTCCAAGGGAATGCTGCCCCTCTCTTGTGTGAAGCAAGAGCAAAGTTACGACCACCAACAGCCCATCTGACCCCACAGTAGGGTTAGAGGCCAGCCCTGGATGCAGCCTAGACGAACACCACGGCAAGCCTGGTGTTGAAATGACACTGCCTGGTCCTAGCAGAGCTGCAGCAGGAGCTCTAACAGCTCTTTGCGGAGGATGCGGTGCCAGCAGAGCCTCTTTCCTTTGCAGCCGGGGAATGGAGCAGCACAGGGGAAGTGGCTCGACCAAAGCACCTCCAGCAGCTGGTGGGAAAGCAGGAATCAAATGTGCATTTCCAGGGCATCACGCTGTGCAGACTGCCGTCTTTGGGGAGGAGAGCCCAGCCTCACCAGCACAGTGACAGCGGGCAAAAGCAGTGCTGGTGTTTTACCATGAGATAAAACGGCCATCAGGGTGGTTCTGCAGCAGCGGTGCAGAGAGATGCTGGGATGCTCGGGCAGGGCTGGGAGCCACAACGTGCCCAGGGGACAGTGAGCCTTCAGCTTGGTCCTTAGCAGTTGGCTCGTGTTCAGGACCTGACTTCTGCCTTGCCCTCTGTTACGCCCTGTCAGTGAGCCCCAGATACTCACCGCGAGCCCTGGGAGCTCTGCGTGGTGCAAACAGCCTTTTGGAGCCCACAGTTCCTTCAAAGTGGTTCCAGCCTTCCACGGCCTGACCAAAGCAGGGCTGGCTGATGCACATTCCCATCCTGCTGTCTGCTGCTTCCACTCCTCCGGGAAGGACCGAGCTCCTGCCCTCAGCTGGGAGACCACGAGATGCTGGCACAGAGGGGGATGAGCCCGGACAGGGCTGTTCAGCTGGGAAAGGAGGATCACAGCAAATAAAGTGGGAACAAAGACACTCTCGAGACCTGCTGGCTTAAGACACAAGAAATTGCATGTGTCAGAGGAGAGGGAAGAGGCTGGCCTGGATCCAGAGCGGCTACAGCTGCCACTCCTGCTGATAAGGGCTCTGGTAAAGCTTGGAGCGGGACACTGCCTGCCGCAATCAGAGTGACCAGTCAGTTCTGCTTGTTTCAGAAAGGCTGTCACTGTAGCTGCCTTTTGCCATCATCAGGATGGTTTATCTATAAAAACGGAAGGCTCCTGTCCATGGAAGTGGGTCCAGTGTGGGGCCAAGAGATGAAGAACGACTGAGGAGATCTTCCACCCACACCAAAGGGAACAGCCAGCT